TAATATTTGTGTCTTCTCCTTTTCTTCTCTGACATGAATCTTGTTATCGACTCTTTGTGTATGATTCAAATACTCTCTCTTTCAAGAATCAGCTATGCTTCTTTTAAACTCTAGTTGGCAAATTTTATCAAATATCCTAACCATGTATGATAGGGATATGCATAACTACTTATTATAATATTTCTTGATTATTAAATAGATTCTAATTTTTTTGGCATTTTCTTATCTTTTCTATTTATAGGTATATGCACATTTATACCATGAGGACAATTGAATGAAGATTTAGTTTTTTTCAATTTTTTTTTCTTTCTAAATCATTAACATCAAAAACCTTATACTAAAATCATCTTTTGTTAGTTGCAACATAGCTAAAGTACTACTAGATGAATTTTTATTCTGTCTTTTATGTTTCTGCTTGTCAACATTTTACCAATGCCTAGGTGTTGAATACAACAATGATAATAAAGATTCAAGGTTTTTAAAAATTAAATGGTCTGTATAGAAAGCAAGATAGTTAATGTTTGTTGAATGTTATGATAAGGCAGATCAACTATTACCCTAAACAATTTTTAGTCAAGTGGATTTTAGTCATACAAGTACCATGATGCCAATGTGACAATTATGTGGCGCTCCTCCAGACGAGATTTATGGTCTAGTATTGATGACATCAAACTTCAAAGACTTTAAAGAGATCAAAACCAAACTCAGGAATTGAATTGGACATTATTCAAATATAGTGTACCATATATACGATCATAATAAAATTGTAAACCAACATGTATGATTACTCTAAAGCTCAAGATCTTCTTTTAAGTTTATTCAATAAAAAACCTCCAATTGATCCCTCACATTCGAGATTCCTTCTTAAAATTATTTTTTTAACATAATCATTAATTGAGAGAAAAAATAATAAACAACTAAAAATTTTCTTCTATTTTTCATGAAGGTCCTTCCTTTAATCATATTGATTTTTTCCATCCCACTGCCACCTTCTCCTCCGAATTCTCTTATCCCAGCTACCTCCTCAACTTCCTTACACCCTCTTTGCATTGCCATTTCTCACTTCTTTGATGGAGTTTTGAATAGAAGAGAATCAAGAGAAAGAATGAAGTTATATTGCACGACTCTAATTATAATCAAAGCTAAATCAAATTTGGACAAATCAACAAACTATGTAGAACCATTGATGGTTTCTAGAAATAGGTAATCAAAATAAGAGAACAGAGGAATGACAAACTCAAACTCATACCAAGAGGAAAAAGGAGAAAGAAATTTGATTTCTAGGTGTTAAACAAATCACCAAACTAAAGCTTTTCATAAGAAGAGTATAAGATTCATAAGCTATAGTTTGCTTCTGTAAGAAACCATCACTGGGAAATTTAGAAAGCAGAGAAAAGCAGAAAAAAGAGGGCAAAAACATTAGAGACAGCGATTTAGTTTTGGAAGAAAGTGAGAGGAAAGCAAAAATCTTGCTATGTTGGTTGAATGTGAAGCTTCTTGATCTATTAGGTTTATAAAGCTCTCCGCGACATTTCCTCATCTCATAATCCCTCTCTCCATCGCTTTCACTCCATCCTCTCACGTTCCATATACTCCAACACATCGACAACTTCAACCCCCACTTGAAATACCCATTAGAGAAATAATCAAACATTCACTTTACATTATGCTAATATTAAGAATCTAGTGTTTATTTGAAGTTTTTTATGTCACTGTGTTGATATATTTCATGAGACAAAGATTTCATATGATTTTTCATTAAATTTTGATCTGTAGAAGATCATGCATATTATCATGATAGTATATATGATCAATAAAATGATGATATGTACAATTCTATACCAGTTGTATGACTGTCTATGAGTAAGCTCATATGATCATGGCCTTGAGACTTCACTACTTACAGTAGAAAGACCTCTCACTGGATAAGTACAAAGTTGAGTTTAAACAACTTATATTAAAGTATAAGCTACAGAGTCAAAGGAAGATAATATAGCTCATTATTCAAGGGACTGAGACCGTCCATTGGCAACACGATACCGTTACAGCCGCATTGAAAGTTATAGGTATTCAAACCAGCCCAAAGGTGGAGAGACAACACAATAGTATCAGATCCACACCACCCTTAAAATAGTATTGAACCATCAGATTGGGCAACATAAATCAACCAGTAGAGCACTCAAGCTGACCCCACCATATGAGAAATTAGTCCAAGCGAAGAAAAAGGGTGGAGCCCACCATCACTTCCAAATCTATCACAACCAGGAAATGCTTCAAGTGTCATAAATTTGAGCACGTTGCATCATATTGCCCAAAAATGAGGATAATATCATTCATGAATCAGAGAGCAGTGAATAGCATACACAATGACATAGGAAATACTAAAGAAGGTGAAGACGCAAAAAAGAAGTAAAAGCTTCCAATTCATGAGAGTGAGATGCTGGTAATCCAATAGGTCTTTTAGGCTGAGCCTATGAGAGAAACACCAATCTACTTAGCATTAGTTGGCTTAGATGACAATGACTCCAATGAGCTAATACTAGACAACATGTCAGCCCTAGCTAAACGGATTTCTAGATTGTCTAATCTATAACCTACCTCTTAGGTGGCCACTTATCACTACTTGGGCAGATTCAACATGACTTCAGTAGAAATGAGAAATTTCTTAGTGGTATTTAAAAGACTTTGAAATAAAATGAGTACAAAGTTCTAGTTCAATTTAGCAACGCGCCCAACAGATAGATGTTCAAACAAGAGCTATGAACCGTAGTTAGGAAAATGTTCTTTGATATTTTATGGGAAAGAAGATAATAGGATTCGGGTCCTTCTAAAAAAGAAGGATAAGCCTCTCCTAGCAGGGGAGAATGCACATAATTGCAGATGAAAAACCCCGCAATCTCATGATTGCGAGACCCATGGTTTTGGGAGACCGAACAAGAATTTCCATCTGTTTTCTAATTTCTGCAAGAATTTTAACCATTTTTGTCATATTTTCTTTTCTTATTATATCTAATTAGAGTTATGTTCTACTAGAAACTATTTACGTGTTATTTTCTGGTTTAGTAGATTTTTAGCTTTTGTTTGTATGTTTAGTGATTTTATCTTTGATTTATATCCTAAGAAATGTTCTGCCTTTTTTCTTTTACAAATGGTGTATCTGTAAATTATGTAAAAAAAGTAGTGAACCTTCTCACCATTCGTACCACATCATTTCTTCATTCCCCTAAGTGTTTTCAATCGGGACAACCAACGAACGTAGTCTATCCCCTTCCAAACCTTGCCAACTGCCCATATTATCATTCCTTCACTATTCCATAACTGCTTTTAACTAAATCGCCTTCCTTCTAGGAGCCTTAGAATAATATCATAGGGCTAACCATATCCTCATCCTGGAGCCATTTAAATAGAGTGGAAGAGAGCTTGAGAGAGACCAGACTTAGAAGGCTTCAGCGATCAGTTTATAATCGAATTTCATTAAGGCTTTAAGCCTTTGAGAGGTCATGAGTTGCTTATCTACAACTTTGTGGAGCAAAATTTCTATCTTCTCCCAAGTATTTTTATGGTTGATTGAAGAATCACTACATACATTAAATCTTTGAGTTGTTTGCAAAAAGATTTCATGGATGCATTTTCTTCATATGCTTCAGTCGCACTCATAAAATTTGTCATCAAATATTGTCCTTGGAATATTGTGCTTCATGTTTTAATGATCTTTCTAGTTGATGCTCACTATCAATATCATGTGAATCTTTCTGTGATCGATTATGGATTCATAATGTCATGGATGTAACATACAACCGACATTATGGGACATTACGGATTATGCGACATGAATCACTTATCATATGTAGGGTTGTAAATGAACCAATGCACTTGATAAACAACTCAACTCGACTTGATTAAAACTTGATCATGTTTGTTTAAAGTAGTAAATATACAAATTTGAACGTTTTTTTTCAACTCCAAATTTGAACATAGCCCAACTTGTTTATTAATTGTTTATGAAAAAAACACATTTATTGCTCAACAAATAACTTATTAAATGGTATATACTTATATGACATTGTTTAAATAAACTTAGACTTATCAGAACTTATCTAATTATATATTTAATAATAATATATTATAATTTAATATCAATAAGTATACAAATTTAATGTATTTTTTTTTATTTCAATGAACTAGTTTGTTAGTACTTATATATATTATTTGATTGCAAGGAAGCTTACTTCCAATTTATATATTATTATAAAAACTAGTTAGATGCTAAATTAAAATTTATTCAAATTCTTATTTATTTAAATTTGCTAAAATTTTGTTAAAAACTTTATATAAAAAAATCAAGTATTCATTCAATTTTTTAGTGAGTTTACTACCTTTATCTGAAAAATTATATATTGATTTGAATTTTTAGCTTATTGAATTAATATAAGAGTCATTTACATAAATACCACATAATTCTTAGATATTTACATATCTAACACCTAAGCATTCACATTTACACACATAACACTCAAATCTTTGACGTCACATCAAAAATATCACTATTACCAATCTTTTAAAGGTGAAATACATCTTTTCAAGAATGTGTTTTTAATATCAAAGTGTTATAAATGTAAATATCAAATTTTAGTTAGATATGTAAATACATAAGAATTGTGTGGTTCACATGTAAATTTCCGTTAATACAAACAAGCTAAGCACAAACCAAGTATGATCATTAAAAATTTTAAGCAAGCTAAGTATGAATATATATGTGAAAGCTCGGATCAAGCTCGAATTGAACATGAGCAACTTATGATTCAACCAAACCAAATCCAATTTATAACATACTCGACTCGACTTGGCTTGATTACAACCATAATGACATGATAAATGGCATGCATGTCTTTTTTTTGCATGAATCAGATTTACGGTTGGTGGACACATGAGTTTTCATATGATTCTTGTGGTGATTTTATAAGTATGACTACAAATGGCACGTAACATATCAAATATGGTGATAATTCTAATCCCAAATGTCCCCTAAGCAATTTTTTGAGCAACATCCACAAGTACAATGATAATCTAACAAAGCCCCATGCACAACATATCATCAAAACATTGACATAAAATTAATTTCCTATACACTGCACACATCAAGGACATTATATGAACTGACTCATACACCTAATAAGAAATAGATAACCATATATAATTCATTACGTTTCTATATGCAACCATATTAAGACTGGAAAGAGACAAAGATTGAATTATTTAACAGAACTCAGATCTATTAAGCCACAAAAATAATGCCATTCTCTTTGATGGTGTCAAGGACAATACCAAGTTTGCCTTCAATTCGTTCATTTTTCTTCGGTTCGAATGCCATAGCAAATACATCAGCTTCCTTAGATCTTTCAGCAATTAATTGCCCAATTGTTCTGCACGCATCATAGTCAGTGAGGGACGGCAATGTGTTCCTGAGATCCTTTGCATTTGTGCTTGCAACAGAAACAACCTTGCTTGTTCCCCTGTGCATTACCTTGGCATGTATAAATCTTTTGGAGAAAAAGACATTCAGAAGGAATGGACGCATGTACATATCAGTTCTTTGCTTCCATGATTTTCTATTAGGTTTCTTTGCAGCCTCTCCTCGAGATCTTCGTGTCCAAGCAGCTTGAACAACACCAATCTGCAGCTATAGAAAATTATATATCAAATAACATTGCCTGGTTATTCATTAAAAGAAAAACAAAGACCAAAAACTATGAGTTTAATTGATTAATTTGATGCACCATTAGCTTACCTATAATGTGATGTTAAGTATCCTATCCTAATATTGTTCTGGGACGATGCCAGGACATAGGACAACGCTTTACCCTTTAAACATACAAGATAAAAATTGATTTAAAATAAGTTTGGCCAATCACGCTGAAATATAAATATAAGGCCTCCATCAACATAAAATTGTCACTAATTCGTACTATGACATATCCTTGTGAGTTCCCATGCAGACTAGACTTTCATATTAGAGAAGATGATTCAAATAAAGCACTGCACAAATCATTCATAAGCTTTTTAATCATACAATGTGCCTCTCTTCCTTCATATCATCTTGTCTTACAAATCTCTTTTCTTGCATATATGCTTAGATGACTAGATAGCATTTCTGACCATAAGTATAGCATTCAGAATTTATTGGTCACACGGGACCAAGTTGTATATCACATTTTAGAAATTTTATCTACTACATGGAGATGTCCAAGCCTCTTTGTCGTACATGACCAAGCTGTAAAGTCTCATCTCTCTCATCTTTTGTCATATATAAGATGTTGGGCTTCTCATCCGATCCCTCACATTGAAAAGATTTCAAACATTCTTAATCACATGAGAACAAGTTGTAAGTCACATCTAAGACATCCACTCCGCCATATGGACGAGGTACTCCCTTCCAACTCCTCAAGCATTAGAGTCGAGGTAGTAATGTCAGCCTTGGCATGCACCACCACATGACACTACATGTTCCTTCTAAGCTTCTGCATCATATGATATTAAAGTGTGTCCCATCTATAAACTTAGGACTGGATCCATAGATTTGGTTTATAAGCCCCCTTAGAAGATTTAACACATGATTGCTAATCACATGACTAAGTAAACCAAAGGCACTAACATGCACAAAATGATGGAACCATAGGAACTAAACTGGGGCCATCACTTCAGTAAATAAGTTAGCCCTGACTTTCCTATATCCACTTAATCCCTTTCAACTAGGCAAGCACCGCAACATAACACTACATGTTCAATCTTGGGCATCTCCCTCCAATCGATATGGAATTGTCAACCCTTTTTCATATCCGTTTTGAAGCTTTTGAATCTAACCTTAGTTTTTCGAGTTTCCTGCAGATTAATCCTCCATAGAGCCGCAAATTATAAATTTAATAAAACCTAAACAAACATATTGGCTCCTTAATTGAGGGTGTTTTCGAATATGGCAAAGATATAATTAAACTTAGGAACGTGATCCTTTGAAAAACTGCAACTCATAAAATAAAATTAAAAACTAGAAGCCACAATTTAAATAAAGGAAATCTTTGTGATAGATACATTCAAGTTGACTTTTACTAACTCCCACGAGCCTTTAAAGTGTACTAATTAACTAGGATCAATCCTTTATTGCAGCACCGTGGGCATCTTTTAAAGCTCACCTCCACAACTCCCAGCATTCTCTCATCCATAACTATTAGTTCGCATATTCTTTACTTTAAAAAGAAGAACGTTCTAATAACCCATATTCACCAAGTTCACCTGTCACCATTACATCGTGTCTTCTTAACCACCAGAGGATAGAGACTATCCTAACCATCATCATTAGCATCCATGACAGCAATCACTGCAACATTAATGCACCATCCAATTTTCTACAACTCATTTTATCTCCGCCTCCAGAAAGATGACCATCTTAATTATCCATGATTATAATCTTATTATGTCGTCAAACTTATCGCCTTTAGGTCATGCCAACTCTATCCCCAAGAGAGGAATGATTCGACCATATTCAATGGTGTAGAAAGATGGAGCAAATCGTATTCTCTCATTTCTCAATGATCAAATTACAACTACTCTCCTTAAGGGAAAGATTAATTACAACAATTACAACTTACCAAAAAAGCACATGGCACAATAAAAAGGGAAAAAACTAAAATTAAAATAGGAAACTCTCCGCACTCCTCCTCAAGCTAGGTCATAGCTGTTGTAAAGCCCTCGCATGGTCTTTGGTCAGATCAGGGAAGCTGCCTGGAGGTAGAGATTTACTGAAGACATCCGCGCGAATTGAATATGAGTTGGAATGTACATTAAGTGAATAATGCCTTCATTGACATTTTCTGAGATAAAATGTCTATTAATCTCACAGTGTTTGGTCTTGTCATGATGCAGGGACTCCTTGCAATATTAATTGTGCCCTAGTTGTCATAGAACATCTTTATGGGATTGGCAGTAGAGTATCCCAACTCATTTAGTAATCTTCGGATTCACATTCTTTCACAAATTCCCAAATCAAGTGTCTGAAACTCACATTTTATACTACTTATAAAAACCACTTCTTGCTTCTTGCTCCTGCAAGTGACGAGATTTCCCCGAACATAGGAACAATACCTAGAAGTGGACCTTTAGTCCGTGAGTTCTCTCGCCCAACTGGCATCAGTATAAACATTTATCTCCATGATGTTTGATTTCTTAAATAGTCATCATTTGTTAGGAGTAGAGGTGTAAATAAGCCAAGCTAGCTAATGAATAGGGATGAAAATGAGTCGAACGAGCTCATAAGCCAAGCTTATTAAGCACGAGCTTGAGCTCAAGCTCAAGCTCAAACTTGAGCTTGTTTATTAAACGAGCTCGAGCTCATCCCGGCTCGGCTCATTGGCTCGCAAGCTGGCTCCTATCTCTAGTCATTCGATGCATTTTCCGGTGAACTGTTGTTGCATCTTTCTCCTCCGGCCACCAATATCTTCTCTGGTGAGCACATGTAAAGCCGAGCTAACAATTTGGCAAATGAGTCCAACTCGATAAGGGCATGGCTCGACCTTGCCTCGAGTCTTCTTAAGAAACATCAATATTCTCTAAATCTTCTCCAAATACTCTTCATTCGAACTATTCATATGTTGACTCACAACATCGACGAAGTAAAGCAATATCAGACCCAGTGTATGATAGATAGACGAGCTTACAAAATATGCCTTAGCGCCAAAATCAACGAATAAACCACGATGAAACTGCAATAGATTGGTGGAAGAAATACAAACAAGGGTTGCTCTAACAAAGTCAAAGGAAAACAAGCAAGATACAAGGCTGATCTACTATACAAGAACAAATCTCTTTTTCATCATCACCTGTCAAGATCATATCATTTGTACAGAAAATGAGTATAGCAATCTTACCTCCCTGAATATGCCTTATGAATAGTGCATGATCTACTTAGCATTGGATATACCCATTAGATTTCATTGGACTTATCAAATCAAGCCCTTGGAGATTGTTTGTAGTCATAAAGAAGCTTTCTTAGCTTACAAATCAGAGGTTTATAGGAGTCATTTTACAGTCCTGGTGGGATTTCCATAGATGCTTCTTCCTCAAGGTCTCTATTTAGAAATGCATTGTGTGCAGCTATTGCGATATATATGCTATATTGTTTTAAGTTTAAGTTAAAATTTTTGTGTCTATTTTCTACCCAGAATGGTTTAAATTAAATTAATTAATAGTTGAGATGACTTTTAATTTTTAATGTGAAATGTGTTTTAGTTTATTTCTTAAGTTCTCAATAGTACTGTCACTGGCTAAACTCATTTAAGAATGAGATTCCACTATTCATAAAACCTTAACCCTACTAGGGTGAGTACCTAACATGAGAAAGTAAGAGATTCGTCCAAAATAAGCAAAAGTAACATAGATGTTTTTTGTTCAATTTTGGTTTGAGTGTTTTAATTTTGATTTATATTGGTTTGGTTTAGATTTAGATTGAGTTTAAAATTAAATTTGATAAACTTTTAAGTTAATTTTTAGATTGGAATAAACTTAGATTTGAATTTAACTTTTAGTGAAGTTAAGTATAGATTTAACAGATCAACAAACATGCTCCTAAATCAACTTGAGTCAACAAAGAATCATAAGGGTTATGGAGGTGAGTTTTGAGGTTGAGTGGTTTAGTTTAGAACTCAAGGTTTTGGATTACCTTGGATTAATTTTTAATTAGTTTTGAGATATGTTTCTTTAATTATTCAACTTTTTCATCAAGTGGATGGAACACCCGCTTGGATTTTGATTGATTAATATAAAATTCCATAAAACATCAAAGGAGCATTTTCTATCAATGGAAATTTTTGTCCACCAACCTAGCCTTGAACCTATCGACGCCCTCATCTATTTTATGCTTAACATTGAACACCCATTTGCACCCAATGAGAGTTTTCTCTGGAGGAAACTTTGTCAAAATTCATGTGTCATTTAGGTCAAGAGCTTGGGTATCCTCTTCAAATTTCTTTTTTTTCATTTTAAACTTTGACGAACTTCATGAGCAAACTTGTATCTGCATACTATCAAGATTATATACAAAAAACTTATAAGTTGATAATAACTTCTCATATGCAACATAACCTTGGATAGGATAACTTGTACAACTTTCCATGTCTTCTCTACTGGATTCCACCTCCTTTGAAACTTCAAAGAAGTGTTAATTCAAGTTCGGTTGTGAGCATTCCTGTGAGTGTGTTTTGTTTTTTTCTTGTAAGTGAATTTTTTTCTATTAGTATACATTCCTTTTTGTCAATCTCAGGTTGGATACTCTCAGTTAGTAGAACTTGGGAGACGGGATGGTTTAACATAAGTAGGTTATGATGACTCTAGATCAGTGTGGGTATCCAGAGCAGTGCAGGGAAGTGGAATATGTTGTGATGATTCTAGAGTAATGTCTTAAGTCTGATATTCACCCGAACTCTCTCCCTGAATGTCAGATTTGTAGTGATGTTAATTTTTAAAAAAATTAACATCCATGCAGTTACAGTATTTTCTTGTAATAGGAGAATATCACTTATACCCCTTTTTGTTAAAAGCATACCTAAGAAATAAACATTTGATGGATTTTGGATCAAGCATTGTGTGGTTTGGTTGGTGAATGTGAACAAAAAAAATACTAAATATTTTTAG